GTGGGTGAAGACAGGAAAAGCGTTTCCAGGTTTTTCACATTCTTTGCAATCCATGTGGCCAGCCTCGCGCTGACCTGATAGGGGTCACTGTCCTCGGCCACCCTGCCATTATGTCCAATCCGGTTCGAATAAGTGACCTTCGACCTTCGTATTGATTGATTTCTCTTCCCCGCGTGTGGTCCTGTTCCCAAACCTGCCACTCTTTTCACCAAACGTGATCTGGATGTAAGTACACATCTGATGAGATTACCACGAAATAGTTGAATTCAACAAATCATTTGATCATGATGCTTCTTATAGCTCTTGTTAAACGGAATCGTCACGTACCTCAGAGGAACTAAACAACAGAAAGAAATGTGCTCATCATCAGATTTTCTTTTTGCCTTAGTAGCTTCGAAAAAACACATCTAAGTGACTAGTAAGTTACCATATACGATACGCCATTTCCGAAGAATAGACCAATATACTTATCAATGGCGCATTTTGGAAAAGTTGGACAGAGCTTTTTGTCGGGCAGAATTACCGCGTTTCAGCTAGCAGATGCGTCCAACTGTGGCCTCATACAATTATTCACTCTCACCATCTGTTTCCGAATCCCTTAATCAATCCGGCAACAGGACTTAGCTTCACTTGGTTTACAAACAGAAACATCATGTGTTATGTCAGACCATGCATGACAAAGCAGTGACAATATCGAATGCCTGGGACAGAACTGATTGCTTTCCCGTGTTACACGTGTTAGGGCAGCAACGAGCGCACTTGAAGTAATTGCGGAGTGTTCACGCAACGCCGTTGATAGCGTTGATCCGGGAAGAAAGTATTAAACCACACCTTACACGGCACTCAGATCCGAAGACCATCAACAATACAAATACTTAGCAAGTACACGAACAAACTGTATGAATTACAGTACGGCTGTTAAAAATCAATTTTTTTTAAACTGGGCAACCTGCTTCAGGACACGGTGGAGGTGCATCATATCCTGTTAATAAAACTATACTGTGTAAAGGGTTAGAGTTGCCAATTGGTAGCTTGCGATGTAACAATTAGAAATCTATCAAGACATCGGATCGATTTGTGTAAACCTACAACCATAACGATGCAGTGTGGAAACCTAACGAGCTTTGGAGCACAAATACACACAATGGAACAGGAATTTGATACTATATTCACTCAAGCACCTGGTATCCGTACAAACGTTCCGGTTGATCTGACAGTTGTCAAATAGAGCACCTTCGACATGCGTGCGTGTTTCTGTGCCGAGTAGCGTCACATACCAAATTGTCGCTGGGAGCGCAACCGTCACACCTAAGCCGCACATAGACATCCAGAACAAACGAGAACTTCTGGGCTCAGATAACTACGATAGGAAAACGGGCAGATTTATACATTTATATATCCCGAAGAATTAATACTGTATGCAGATCATAAACGATAGCGCGACTGTGTACATTGTACAGAGAGGCACAAACTCACGAAACAATACCAGAAGAGGGTTGAGAGAGGAAAACATGTTTGGGAGAAACTCAGTGAATTAATGAGCATTACACTAACCCTGAAACCCCCTCCCTGGGTCAAGTCCTTTTTGCACACTGGAAAACGGATATAGTTGATCAGTGGATTAAAATAGAATGGCTATCCCCAAACGTATAATACTGTATGAAGTGAAGGGATGGAAGGATACGGATTGCATCTGAGCAAACTGTTCGGCCTCGAGTCCCGAACTGCAACTGGAGGATTAGAAAAACTAACTAATCAAAATGTGTAAAAAAAGAAACAAGACTGAACTGGAAATAGGAAACTGATATGCTCCGTGATGTAAGGAGCACGAACAATTCGGGGAAACAGACAAGACAACATCACAACACCTGAAATCATCAGCCTCTACCCAGGGATAAGAAAAAGTAAACAAATAGTTGGCCATCACGACTGTAGTGAGAGGGACACTTTGGAGCAAAAGTGCAGACGCAATATGGGGTCAGGGGAAGGAGTGCACAAGGATGATCTGGAGTGGATCGAACTACTGGGGGAAGAAAAAGAATGAGACAGCCAGAGCTCTGTATCGAACTCGTCAGTTGAACGATCTGGTACCGCGGTGAGACCGTTGTGAAAGACACTGAGAGGAAGGGTGCGCGCCAGGAGCGCGGACAGACTCGTATCGGGAAGGCATTGAATCAAGGTTGCCGTTTATTGCTCTTGCTAGTGGAAGCCAAAGATCCGTTGGCAAGAGGACAAGACGGAACAGTGTGAGACATAGAATGCGAAGCTGATCCGACATTAGATAAGTTTGAATTTGTGGAATGTGTTGAATCTTTGTCGAAAAATTCCGAACTTTCGGTTTCACAGGATTTCATCAAACCTTCGAAATCGGACTCGTACAGCAGTGCAGGCCTAACCCAGTGGGCCGGAAGCATAGATTCAATGAAGGGAACACCGGCAGCGAATTTGGCTAGCAAATTGATCCATTTGGGAAGTACGCCATTGCACAGGAGCTGAGAACGAAATTGAATGGAAAAGTTATTCTCGTAATCGTATTTTGTGAGACGCTGCGTGAACTGAAGTCACACAGCAAAGAAGTTCCTTTGACTTAAAGCTGACTATGGTAGTTGGCAAGGTGAAGTTATGTGATCCATAATCAGCAAGATATTGGGAACATATGGTAGCCGTGTAGTATAGTAAAACACCGGTTCAGACCAAGTCAAAAAACAGCTTATACACCCCAAACGCGGACTTAAGAGATGATATAACGGATATATCAATATGAAAAGAACTGAAATCTAACACTAATGTAGAAAAAATTCTGATGCAATAGTACATCTTTAAGCAAAATGACAACTCTGGTGTGACTAAATTAAAATGGATACGATGTGAAGTGGTTTGGTGTCCATACGAGGCTGTGCGTGCAGAGAGCAGTTGAAATTCGGATTCAATCTAGCGTTCATGATTTCGTGATGCAGGTNCCCCCCCCCCCCTCTCCCCAATTACCCCCATCAATTTATTATTATTATTATTATTAATTTAGCCCATCAATGAACTGATCACTTGAGTCAAGACGCTGGGAGACAAAAAAAAAATAAAACCAAACAGCTCCGTTATCATGCTGCGCTGCAACCGTGAAGGTTAAGGGCTGAGCGAACAAGGAGTAGATCACCAGCGTGTTTGCTGGTCACTGTTTTGATTACAGGGGTTGACCTTGCTCTGCTCAGAACGCTTAAAAACCATATCGCACACTTAGTCCTACTTTGTGCACAGCATCGCTGAATGCTGACTGCCCAAATCCATCCATTCAAACCGATTAGTAGGAAGGTTCTGCACACGACTGCAACGGAAAGACGGAAGGGAGCGGAGCCAATTTCGGAGGCGTAGCAATAACGCATGCGCGTGACCACCAAACGTTCACCGCTCCACAAATTCATGCAACCACTGGGACCAACCTTACCTTCTTCTCCTTTATGGTCACCATATATTTATCGAATTACCTATAGCGCTGCGCGAAAAATTCACTTTCTCTTCCCGGTTTGACGTTTCTTCATTCCCCCTCAACTTCTCCCAGTTGACAAAGTTCAGACTCACTCTGCATCCGAATACTGCAGTTGTGTGTTGAATGGAGTTTCCTCGACTTCTCCGTCTTTTCGTGATCGAGTTCAGCGTAAAGCAAATTTCCTTATCAGCGAACTGTCTTTGACACATAAATTCCAGTCACCAGCTCACAGTTGAGCAGTCGCTTTCTTATCCTTATTATCTCAGCACTATCATGTTTTTGTTCAACCGAATTTGTCTTTCTGTTCCTCTCCTAACTATTCTTCCTTGTAGATCCCTCACATAAGCTGTCGGTCATCTATGTCAATTGGCTACGGCCAAGTGTCCCATTTATGATTTGCTATCGTTCTTTTTTTTCAAGAACAGCATAACTATACTCTCTCTTTCGGCCTTCGCCCCAACTAATAACATCCAAATCCATAACCGCAGAACGCTCCCTTTAGCTGCTAATGTACAGTATATCCTTGGGGTTAAACCGTTATTCTGTATACACCAATATGTAGGGAGAAATGGTTAACGCAGAGTACACACTTCAATTATGCATGAACATCTTTTCAAGCGTCCTGAACTGCTAAGAAATGACACTGCTGTCGGTTTGTTACCAAGTCCTTTGATGTCTCCCACACAGGACGCAGTCTTTCAAACCCCAGTCTAAAAGTCGGGAAACGCTAACCTTAAATGATCTCATCATGCCTAGCTTCCAAGCCATTTGCTGACCTCCAACGTGGAGCAGATAGCAAACAGGGCACGTTGTGGTAGATGGTGGCTGGGCATGCGTGGTCACCATGCCTTCCAGTTCCATAAATACAACAGGTCTTTTAGGACTGCGAGATTCATCTCTTCAAATATATATTCCATCAGAAACAATAGTTGGTAGGAGTGAGTGGGTAAAGATTATTCGCTAGAAGCGTTATTTTTCGATTGTCTCTACACGATAGTTTTTCTCTGACAATTGACACCTAATACGCTTGATTGTATGACTGTTATGCAAGTGCAACGAGGCACTACCCGCATAGTATGTGAGTATCATTTTGGTGGCTACATCTTGAAAAAAAAGCTTCAGTTTCTCGCAACGTAGAGAAGCAGTAGCAGATTTTCGAGGTTGAGTTGTAAAACACGTAAACTGTGGAATCGTCTGGCCACCAATAAGTAGTTTTTTATGAGGTAGCAATTGATTTATTTCAATAACTTGCTTTTAGCTACCCAATTAATCCTCGGCGTATTTGATCTCTTCAACTAACAAACCCTCGATCCGGTACTCAATTTGATTGATGGCACAAGTAGGACGAAAACCGATCGCTTTGTGGAGCCAGACCGTGTGGCATGTAACCTGCCACTACGCCACTCGGACTGATTTTTCTTCTTGCTTAGCTTTGTTGTAGTAAATCTTGTTTTGACAATGACATCGTTTAGCTTGTCGTAAATGTGACTCCAATTGAGCGACTGCTAAAGCAACTACGAATCAGACAAAATGTTCATGAGCAATTCGTGTAATATTGAGTCCTACAATCTTCATATACCGTAAACACGCACTAGTTTGGACAGTATCTGTATCTTTTTAACACCATAGGCCCATACCGATTGCATTTGGTCGACCGGGAATAAGGAATAGTACCGAGCATCACTGAGTGCCATGTTTCTATGACAAACGTCCATCGTAAGGCTTTAGGTACTGTGTTATAAACTAAAACGTAGGAGTCTGGATATGTACGCAACAGGAGTTAGCTCACGCCAAATATCACGGCCGCAGATCAGTAACACATCTGACGCCTTATAATATGCTTGTAGGAGTTGACCTACTAATGCAACGAAACACGATGCAAAGCCCCCTACACACACACACACCCATCATTATCCAAGTCTTAAGGAAATGCTATGGATTTTGAATTTTTAAAATGGGAATTGGCCATACTTCGCTTACTAAGACGAACAGATATTAGGATGGAGAATTCGAGTAATGATTCATTAAATATTCTCGAAATTCAATAAACGACACATGGACGGTGTAATTTGGGGTAGGTTATGAGATGGAAATCCTTAAGTCGGTATTATGTAAACAAAGATGTTATTAACCTCGGACTGTCAGGAGTTAGTGGATTATGATAAAAAGCGCCTCTTCTGTTTCTACTCATTGGGCGGACATCGAACTTGCAATGACCCCAGTGACTCCATACTGAAGCGATCGTGAGTATGGAAATGGCCGCATCCTTCAAATAACGCGAATATATGTAAGTATGTTTGTAAACACTACGCACGTGGATATCAACATTGTGATGATCGAAGTCTGACATTCACAGATTTCAAGCAATGTTTGAAACTGAACTGCAACAAATAATTTGTGATCCACGTCTTGCAGAAAAGCATTAGGATGCATCAAAAATCGGCATTTCACTTGCTAAATACACGACGAATTCCCGTATGAAATTTAATTCAATCCCTCCATTATTCACATGAAATAAATAGTCAGGTTGTGAATGTTTCCAACCGAGCCATAACCCTGGAGGCTAGTGCTGAGATGAGCAAGGTCTGTGGCCCACAACAAGCCCGCANGAGCCATAACCCTGGAGGCTAGTGCTGAGATGAGCAAGGTCTGTGGCCCGCAACACGCTCGCAAAGGTGGGTTGTGCTACATCATGTAAATGAAAAATGAAAAACGATCCGATCAGCTACCCAGTGGCGTAGTCGGTAGCATGCTTACCCTTTACCCATGAAGTCTAGGGTTCCACCTCCAGCTGGGTAGACGGATTCGCACTGCTAGTGAGACCCCAGGTTGAAACAGCTGCCTAGTTTTACAGTTTACGCTTCATTTACTATATACACGACGACACTCAACTCACACGACCGGTTGTAGCTCCTTCACCGTGCCGTGGATGGCGTTGCCGACTCAGTGACCAACTGAAAACCTGGAGCATCATGATCAAGGCGGACTTGGAATTATTGTTAGTATATGGAATTCGTAATTGGAACCAGGACTGGATACCACATTGCACCAACCTTGTCATCGATCGTCAAGCATGGGCCGCCATCATAAGAGATATCCAAAAAACGGACTCATCTTCCCGCAGCAGTTAGTCACTCAAAAGTAAAAGTAAAGTAATTAATGCCGGATACCACTCTACTCTACAGTGCCCACTCTCACTCTCAGGAACCTGGACTAATAACTCCCATTATAGCGACCATTCCTGTCAGCCGCAGTTCGATTGTATTTCTTTCAAATGGATAGAAGAGATTAGTTTCTCCAAAAGCTTCATTATGGTCGGAGATGGGTGTTTCGGGTTGCGGCTGGCAACTCTCTCCTTGCACCTCGTGAAATGCTTATAAATGATCAACTGTTTCAAACAGCACCTGACGAGGAAGCCCTGATCAATGATGTGCAGTGGCGGAGGTAATTTCCTACTAAAGTGAGCAGACGAGAAGCCGACATTCGGGGCTTCAGTTTCAGTTCTTACAACTATTAACCATGCATTTCTGTTTTGGTTGCTGTCTTTTGCAAGCCCATTTGGAAAAAAAAGCAGCTTGAAGATTAGAATGTTGAAAGCAAATTCAAGCGGAAGATGGAAAATTCAGAGTGGTGTTAGGACATCAATATCATCATTGTACAGCATAATACAATGAAGCGAACTTCACTGATCGCTGCCAAACTCATATTGCATACAACTTAAGTGATACTGTATAAGGAGGATATGGACTTACTCGTACGGACGAGGAAAAGAAACCTAACCTCTGTGGTCAACACAGAGAGCAAAGTACAGCTGTGCATACATACTATTCCAAGCATTCTGGTCTGGTAAGAAGTGACAACATGATCGCCACTGCTGTCGGTTCGCAGCCATGACCTTCAGTGTCTTCAACCATGCGATTACGCAGTCTTTTGGACCCTAACCCAGAAGACGAGACATCTACTCTACCTAATCGCTCCGTGCATTTCTTCATGCCTCGTCTCCACGTCATC